GCAACCCTCACCTTTTTCAGGCACTTAGGACCATTTTTCAACCGTAGTTTTAGCCCTTCTGCTCTCATATGAAAGCTCAAGGACCCAGGGAGTTGATCCTGGCAACGATTTACACAATCTCACCATTTTGGGGGCCAAACAATCTCCTTTTTCAAAAGATACTGTGGGGGGGGGCACTTTTAAAGCTAATGAGCTGGTCAAAAGTTCTCACTTGAATTAGTGGTCTGCACCCTGTGGTGTATTGGCCCAATGGAATGTTATCTCTAGGTTAAAAGGAAGCATTGCACTTCATAAGTGTGACAACTCCCAGCAACATGTCACACTATTTGATACAGATGTTAACATGTACAATAAAAGCCACACAAGGCCAATAACTACAACCTCAACAGTGCTGCATGATTTGATTTGTAATACATACACGTACCATAGCTACGTCAACAAAGTCCCTCTTTTCAACATGTTATTTGTCATTGTGTCCCTGGTAAAGAATTGGCATTGCAAAAAAGATCCTCAAGTGTTTGGAAGCAATAAAAAATTTACACAAGAACAACGTCCACACAGACACCTGCAGAGAGGTCAAGATCACAAGATCATGATCTGAAGGTCTGCACGGTGGATATAAATGTACATGTACATCTACACACATGTAGCAATGTAACAAAGGTTTATACAGGAGCACGGAGTGAAATCTCTCTTGGGAGTGAATGGGGTTCAGAAAAGCACCTGTGTACTCAACATTTCAGAGAGTGTACTCTCATGGCCAAGAGATCAACTTGTAGAGGGGTTTCTTGTGGAAGAAACGAGAGCAGTGTTGCACGATGAGGATGCAATTTTAAATGTTGAATGACGATTTGTGGCACTCAGAAGCAGCGGGATTGGTAGAAGGGCAGTGAATTATGTTAGTCTTGAAAAGGGAGCAGAGAGGAATGGTGCCAATAGGTATAGCCAAAATGTTGAGTCATACTGGTTCTTTTCAGAACCCCAGGCACTCCTAAATGCGATTTTACACAGTGTTACCACAAACCTCTGGCATTTTATTACATGTAGATCGTGTTGAGTGGTACTTTCCTTGCCTTGGGGGAATCAAGTTGGTATAGTGGTGCTTTCCTCGCCTGCGACCTCTGCAGCCTGGGTTTGAATCTAATCCAGGCCAACATATAATATAAATTGTGTTCTTCAGTCCCTACCTGATTCTTTGGGTGGAGTTCATCGGTTTTCCATAGAATACTTGCAGGGAATTTTCTTCCCTCCTCTAGAAAACGAACATTTTTTCACAGTATTCTCCCAAAGGTTCTCTAAAGGGAGAACAATTTATAACTAATAAGGCTTGACCCTGGTTAAATGAAGAATTACACATAATAAATAGATTCAAACCATGTGCACTGCATTGTAGCCAAAGGACTGCATCCCACGTTATGGCTATGGCTATGAAAGTCCCATGGCTAGCACATGCAGTCACTTCCCAGAGAAGCCTAAGAGACACCCGACCCTACCCAGCCTAACCTAATGTTTCAGTAGGACATGTACCAGTAGGCATTAGGCAAAGTGGGCAATACTCTTCACATGGCTTCAATCATGTTTCATCTAACCTGGATACCTAACCAACTTTATGAGAACAGACTGCCAGGAACAGGAAAGCCTGGAGGAGGGCCATCCATGAGGTAGGGCAATGAATGCCGATGACTCCAGTGCTCGGATACGAGCTGGCACCGACAACCTTGATAAACACCTGACTAGAACTGAATCTGCTTGCCTTGAAGAAGGTACTCAGTTACTGAAAGCCCGGCAATTACATATTTCAGAGCACTGATTATATATTATATTCTTGTCAATATTCTGATCACGGTGCTACGCAGCCCTTCCATATTTCTCTGACTAGAAGTGGATGAGATCCAAGCAGTTTTTGTGTATACCTACATGTACATGTATGTAGTTCCATCCTCTGATTGTGCACACTGTCAACATGAAGACAATTCATGTCTGTTTTTCTTAATAGTCATCACTAAACTCACACAATATTCATGGTGAAATACATGAATACACACATGGCATGCGTGACTTTGTTGGTTCGGTGAAAAAAAGACCAGATTACTAAGTGATGCCGCATATATAGTTTGTCAGGTGACTTCCACAATGGGCAGAATAAAGGGCCTCCTTGTTCCAAGCAGATCAAAACTCTAAGCCACATGAAAGTGGCTAAAGACAATGGAGTCAAAGTCAACAATGGAAAGGGAAGAAATAAACAAGTACCAACACTACGCGAAACGACATGACTGAAGACTGTGAAATATGGCGGATCCTGATCTCATTAATTTCGTGGCTCAAGCCGCATTACATGTACCTGATATACACTGTTTTGTGTTAGGCACAGCCTGCTGATCTGCGCCATCAGTCAATCTATCGGCACAATCTGTCAATTCTTCCATCATTACTGACCGACTGCGCAGATCAACTGCTGTGCATGTATGCCTATCTAACGCATATCAACCTGAATAAAATAAAACCAACATTTTATGCTGATACCTGATGACAATCAGAAAGAAAAGTACACGTATTCTCACAAAAGACCTCTCTGCTTAGTGTTTATATTGTCAAGAAGGTTGCAAAAGTAACTTTTGGATTGATACATGTACATCTGCAATTCAAAGGTTCTCAGCTACTTAATATAAAACATTGTTATTGTGATTATAAACATTGTGGAGATAAGAAAAAGACAGAAATTTTATCAGAGGAGTCAAACTAGTGGTAATATTAGCCATTGAAAATAAAGAATTTTTGATCCAGTGCCCTACCCTATAAAATCCCCTCACACTGAATGCCGGGATGTTGATCATGACGTCCCGTAAAGAACAACCTTGCCATGCATCTCCATGCAACTTGTACAACGTTCACCTTTCTTCATATCATGTGCAGTAGACATGAGTCAGGAATGGCAGATTCTGAAGTTTCCAAGAGCGATTTGGAAGCCAATTTTTCAGAGGAAGAGTTTAACAGCTCTGCTTGGAATTGCTGTATTTTTCAGCCAAGGTGCTTTCAGTATTCCAAACTCTTTATGGAACATTTTCTCATAGTCATCAGCTACGAAATGGTCAGTGCAGATGACACTCGTCGAGGACGGCCCATCCCAGGATGCCCTGGTCAAGCATACTTCTGCTGTCCATAATGCTGGGTCTGTGCAGGCATACACCATCTTGTGGTGACTGCATCCTACAATGACACATCTCGTCAGCATTGTTGCTTGCCAGGGCCGAATTTCAAGGATTTTTTTGGCAAGATACCTGGGCAATAATTCAGTCAGTCTACAGGTAACGCCAGGTCAGTGGCCCCTACGTTGAAGATCAGATTCTTTATGTGACGTCATTGCATCACTTGATGCATTACATCATTCATTCAGAGTTTTCGATAGGGGAAGTATTTAGTGGGGGGCACAACAAACTTGCTAAAATATCATCCAAATCAGCTGAACCGATGGAAATAAACAAAAAAAGGACTTGTTTCTTTATTCAATACAGCTTTATTTAATACAACAATGGTCTGGAATAGCGGAGAACCTTTAAGAACCTTAGACTCCAAGTTCTTTAAATTAGAAGTCAAAGTGAGACGAACACATCAAAATGCGTAACATACTACATAGACTTAGTAGAGGTGTCCTAAGGGGGGTAAGGATTGCCAAGATCATGGTAATGAAAACCGTCCCAATGGATTATCAGCTCCATGATTCTCAATATTTGAGGTAACTGATACCGATATTAACTTCCTCCCCAACCCCCAACCCCGTCATTTCCTGTAACCCCAGGCCTACCTTAAGTTGCTGTGGATCAACTGTCCCATCACAGTCCAATCCATTGAACGCATGCCACAACCACCGCTTCACGTACTCGTTCTTATCCATTGCCGCCTGCAGATCGTTCTCCGATTCACAAATGCCAATTAAAATTATTAAGACAAAACTGAATGCATCGCGAAAGATTTTAGTTCCGATGGATTATTCGATTTCTTTACATATTTCACAAGTTTTACTCCGAGTCCTATCGACTTCCGCTTCACGAACAACTGGGTTGTCCATGGAGCAAACTAACTCTACAGGGGTGTAGCTGTCAGAAAACCTACTTTATGTTCTGCATTTATCCAACTTCATTTCGATCTTTAGTTATAACATATATAACACCACCCATCTACACTTATGCTTACTTTTAAAACTGTATGCATTTTTATTCGATCAGTATTTTCAGTACTACACGAAACCCTCAAATCTGAAGTTTAATTTCCCCTATAAATACTAATGGTATCGCCAGATCGAGCTCGTTACGTTTCCGGAAGTTTACTGAAACTTCCTGGTCTCTTGTTAATGTTGCGCGCATATTGTGCCTAGAGGGCGGGCTTACCGGTCGATGTGTATTTTGTTTATGCCACAAATGTCAGCAGATACAAAGTTCCTGAAATTTGGTCATTGTTGGTAGACCTTCGGTGGACTTATGTGAGACTCGACTCAACTATACATGTACATCTGACCCTTAACCAGTCGAGACAACACAATCCCTGGTCAAAGAACGATGTTTATCAGAGTGATAGGAAGCAGCCTTTTCAAATGTTTGCACGAGTTTAGCCGTGCAAGACAAGGAGCACATTTACAGTTTCCTTGCAGAGCACGCAGTTGTCATGGCAACTCAAATTTCTTGCATCCTGTAATGTTGGGATCAGACCCCAGGATGAGTGGTCATAAACACAGAAGAAGGAAAAGCTGTTACCATAGCAACCCCACAAGCCTGACAAGACTGCAGTGTACACAGAATGGGGCGATCAGAGGGGAAGAAATCTCCACAATCAAGCAGTTCATCTTGGACAACACGGTAGTCACTCGCAACCATCTGACCCCGGAGGTCGCACTGCGCTTGATGACGTCCAGCTGTCGCCTGTGGAGTGCCCCCTCTGAGCAAAGCTCAAGTATCCTTGCGCATTGCGGAATTGACGAACCCTTCTGGGCATTCTATTGGCCAGGGGGACAGGCGCTCACAAGGTGCTTGCCTTTCTTGCCTGGAGACGTCATTGGAGCATAACCTGCTCATCCAACATTCACCCAGTGTTGTAGCTGTAAATAGCTAATGTGAAGGAGGATACCCCCGTCCCATTTACCAATTGGTTATCTTCTAATTTTTTTTTGTTTTTTTCTTCTTTTACCCTCATGTCCTAGTGTCCCACTGATATGTTTGGGTTCCCCTTAATTTGAAGCACCGCCCCACTCCCTTCGTAAATGGTGGATCCCCCACCCATAGAGTCCATCACTTCCAGCTCAGTCTCAAGCCAAGTCACATGAACCACAACAAACTGCTTCATCATAACCAGACCCGCCTTGTGTAGGGACTTGCAATGGTCTGCAAGATAGTATATTGAGTTCCTTCCACTCAATTTGTAATTTTTATTTATTTTTTTTTTGGGTCTACTTGTAGGTATCTTTTGGATAATCCGGGTGTTGTCAGTGGAAAGAGTGTCCTGGATGTCGGAAGTGGCTGTGGGGCTAGTGCTATTGCTGCGGCATTGGTTGGGGCCAAGTCAGTCCTTGCCAATGACATTGACAAAGGTGGAGACTTCAATCCAGATTCGTAGATTACACTTTTCAACCTTATGGGAGTTGCTCAACCAGACTTGAATTAGATGGAGGTGCTCAGGTGCTCAAGGCAGATAGATGTAGACAGTGTGTAACACAAGGGGCAATAACCTCCGTTGCCAACAGACACACAATTTTAAAGACAGGAACTATGTACATGCATTGACACAAAAGGGAAGAAGGTGTGATATCTCCACCCCCTGGCTAGTGACAACCCTGGACCTGTCTGTGAGACCGGGGGGGGGGATATCGGATACAGCACCAATTGATGCTAATGTGTAGTCCAAATTTACAGCAGAATGTGTACAGACCTGAAGCATATACATTGTACATGTAAGTGAATGGTGCAATTACATTGATGATTGCATGATTGATTAATTTTTTTATTTTTCAGTTGCAATACAGGCCGTTAAACTCAATGCCGAGATGAATAGTGTTGCCATGACAACCACCTCCAGGAACTTGATTGGCCGCTTGGCTGACCATTGGGATGTTGTGCTCCTGGGAGACATGTTTTATGATAAAGACTTCACAGATACAGTCACTGATTGGCTGAGGTGTCTGGCTGATAGGGGTACGGAGGTCCTGATTGGTGACCCCGGGCGGATATTCCTCCGAGACCACCCAGTCAGAGACTGCCTTGTGAACATTTTCACGGTGGACTTGTCAGAGAGCTGCAGGTTAGAGAATAATGGAATGACACAAGGATTTGTCTGGAAGTTACAGGCGTGAAGGAGATCACATGCATTCGCTCACGTATATGAGCAGGTGTCTAGTTCTTTGTAAATGCAAAATATCCAGTACAATCTCAGTCAACTCATCAACGCAAAATGCTACTATAGCCATCTGAATGTACTTCATTCTTGAGCAACTAACAAGGACCACTAACAAGTCATGGAAGTTTTTTGCTTTATTGATTTCTAACTAGGACTGAAACCAACTGAATGTAAATTTCATGCACAGTACTTAGGTACTCGGTACACGCCACTCGTGAGCGTTTCTTAGCCTGGCTAATGGAGCGCAGGGTAGAATGTTACAGGGTCATAGGTCAGGCCAGGGAGGGGGAGACATCAAGTTGATATAAACCCTGCCCTTTTCCCCTTCTTAGCTGTTAACTAACAGATGGGGATTATGAGGTCATTGTCAAAACTTTTTTCCTACAGCATGCAATTAAGACCAGCAGAAGCCATGAAATGGATCAGTGGCTAAGTTTCCATTTTTTGAGGAAAAGTACCATAAAAGGAAATCACTTGTAACAAAAAAATGAAATGGTCGACTCTACCCTGAAAAGCTGTGCTCGGAATATCATTGAAGAGTGCTATAGGTTGCAGGATGGTCGCTGAGGCTAACCCGCTACCGTTTTCATTGTGTATTCGTGCCCCTATTCAATGCAAATGGTCTGTTACCTATCACTGAGAAACTATGTCAGTACCCCAAAACATTTGATTGTACGTGAGCTACGTGTGAGCATTATTGTACAGGGAAAATTGAGATCTTTTTCTTCCAGTTGAATGTTATAGCATTGTGACGCAAATTTTTGTTGTACATGTACATTACATTATCAGGCAGCGTGAGCGCGCGACTTACCCATGTTCAGTTACAGAGGGCGCTATTTGGGAATAAAAGAGAGCTCGCGCGCGCGCGCGCGGCCAGCCAGGTACGGTGTAGTAGTCGGTGTTTGGTTCTCGTCGCGTCCGGGATGGCGTGCTGAATCCAGGCCGTGCTAGGTAATAGGAGGTTATGCTGCGTGGATTCGAGCGTGGGCCTTTGTACGTAATTGAGTGGTCCCACGGTGGGATACCGTAGAGGGAACCGGAACTAGGGATTAGTTTCAGTTCTTAGGGGTGTGGAGTACCCTGGGGAAGAGTACTTGTAGCCTGGAGGATGCCTTACGGGAGGGTCCAAACTAGGAGGCGCGATGGTAGTGGGAGGCTATCTACGGTAGCGCTTGGCAGAGGCTTTGTGGGTACCACATTATAGTGGCTACCTGGAGGAAATTGTCAGGTGTGATTGAGGTGTAAATAAAAGAGGCTCATAGGCCTATAGTTATTTTTCCCGTCTGTTCTTGTCCTATCCGTAGTTGCCCTGTCTGTCCCCGCGGAGGTTGTTGACATGTAGCACGGGAAGGGGAGGTGGATGCAAACTGGGGATGTGCAGACTCCCCCCCTTGAAATGTCGAAATATACACAACCGGCTGTTCATTTGCTTTTGATGTCCCCTGAGAAAAAAATACACACCCTGGATGCCCCCATTTCCATTTTTAGTGGCCGACGTGGACGTTTGAAGCTCCTTTTCAAAAGATAAATTTAATAGGGATTTCATTTTAAGTATACGGTGAAGGACAAAACAAATAAATTCCATGTAAATGACTTGACCAACGGTGACAACTACACGTAGTACCCCCTCCTCGTAAAATTTCTGGAACCGCCCCCAACAAAGAATCCTGAATCTGCTCGTTTTGTCTCTCATTTTTATTTTTTTTTTCAGCCGATTTCATGTCAGAAAAGATAAATCTCGAAAGATTGTTAATTTAGTGTCCAAATTTGTTGCCTTTTTAAAAGCATGTTTCATTCAAGGGCAATGAAGCGTTCTTTTCAGTGTGTTCTCGAGTTAAACCACAGTTATCAGCCTTGCACCCAAAATAACATAAAACCGTAATATTACTTCCAAATCCCCAAATAAAGGAATTTTGCTGCGAAAGGTGCAGGGGAAGTCAGATCGTGTGACTCGGCATGACAATAAATGATGATCAAGGAACTGCATTATCATGGACTGTGCGGGAAAATCGTGTAATAATAGGCACATTCTTTCTCATGCGTGGGCAACATTGCTGTGTCACCGGCGGCGGGTAAATGGCTTTTGTTTTATCACATCACCGTGATGCAGCAACGAGGTCATTTTGTCACAAGAGGATGATGATGACGATAACCATTAGTTGCCCTTTTACAGGAAGCCATCAGAACAAACAACATAAGAATTTCAGATACTCCAAAAACAGGACAAGCAAGCAAATGCAAATATTGTTCATTGTAAAGAGAGAGACTTCTCGTATTTGCACTTATAATTCGCAAAAATGAAGAAAGTGAGTTTTTGAGTCACAATGCAAATAGTGACTCAAAAACTTCTGGAGAGGTCTATTGTAGTCACATGAAGTAATAATAATGCGAAGCTCTACTCCCACTTTGTGCTCAAGACGGTACAGGCCTTCTGGGAGCGTATTTCTCAGTCCTCCCCCGTTACTCCAGAAAAAAGGATAAAAATCCCCTCTGGGTTTGTCTTTTATTTCATCTGACAGTGGGTCACCCTGTTTTTTCCATCTTAGCATTTTCTCATGGGGCTTAGGGGAAAAGGATTCTGCGTTGTGACCCAATTTTTCATAATGAATGCTAAGATAATTTGGAGTGTCAATAAATATTTTAAATAAGTACAAGTACATGTAATCGTTAAATCTGCCTGCGGGTAACATATCTGGAAAACTTGTCAGTTGGAAATCTGTTTTCAGATGTTGCGATCAAGTGGCCGAGGCAATGGTGTGGGAAATACATAGTCGTATGCCCCGCCGGGCCAGGTAGAGGAATGAATGTGCTACACTGCAAGACCGGGTGTGTGTGCGTGCATGTTTATTAAAGTTTTTCTGTGCACCTGCGCATGGGCCCCTTACGGAAGCCCGTTAGGGCCACGGTGTGTTTCTCTTTCACGGCGGTGCGTTTCTCTTTCGTTGTTGCCAGTAACTCGCGGAACTCGCGGCCGCGACTTGCTTAACTCGCGGCTGCGACTTACCTCGCTTGGTATGTTGTACTGTTTTGTACCATGGAAAGCAAATATAGTAGCTTCCTAGATTCACACCGAAAATGAACCGATATTTTTAAGATGTGGAGAAGCTGTTGGTATGTAATATGTGATACAAAAATACATTCATAAATGACCAGCAAACATTATTTGACCTTTAATCTAGCGTCATGCTCTCTATGGGCGGCCAAAAGGGTTAAAATTAATTTTAACAAAAATAAACAATTACGAGCAAAATTAACCTTCTTATTCAAAAATCTAAATAATAAAACACAAAACAAGCACCAAAACCATTTGAGAAACAACTTCTTAAAATGTTTAATTAAACAAAATTAAAAGTTATATGCCACAAAAATTAATCTCACCAAAAATAAATAATCACTAGCGAACATTTTCATATCAAAATGTAAATGGTAAAACACAAAACAAACTCTAAAACATTTATAACAGAAATAATTTTAAAAATAAATAACCGACATCTGAAAACAATATGACCCAAAAAATTCCCAAAATAAAAACAGTAAATGAAAATAAAAAATAATTGAAAAAAAAAGAAAAATAATGTCCAAACCAAAGGTCGCCTGCAGTTTACTTCAATTTTTCACAACAAAGTTAAACGCTAATCATATCGAAAATTCTGAAACAAATTTAATAATACTTTATTTTTTGTAAAATAAATGTTGACCCTTTTGGCCGCCCGTTTTTTTTTACAAACTCAACTCGAATCAATAGAAAATTCTTTTACAAAAAATTAAGTATTATTACAACCAAAGTTGTTTCAGAATTTTTCTAATGATTTAGGTAAGTCGCAGCCGCGAGTTACGTAAGTCGCGGCCGCGAGTTAATAAGTCGCGGCCGCGAGTTAAGTAAGTCGCGGCCGCGAGTTAATAAGTGGCGGCCGCGAGTTACTGGCAACAACGAAAGAGAAACACACCGTCGTGAAAGAGAAACGCACCGCCGTGAAAGAGAAACGCATCATGGCCCTAACGGGCTTCCGTAGCCCCTGTACGGTGGACGCGAATCGATATTGAAGTGTCCGAAGTACTTTGCTGTGGTGGTAAATTACGCACGTGTCTACGCAACCAGGTTCCCATAGAGTCCTGTGTAATTTTACAGCCGAGTGATTCGGAGGAAGCCTGTCTGTCCGGTCACTGTCATTTAAAAGTCAACGTGAGTAGTGAGAGGACGCGTGTGGCAGACCGGTACAGTGTGAACAGGGGGCGCCGGCAGGGTATCTCTTACAGTCAGTCTTCAAGGCATTTTGGAAGTTAAACGAAATGGAAACTACATCTTGTAGATGTATGTGCGTCGTGGTGTGCCTGTTTGTCGCAGTTCTGTCTGTGCAGGCTGGGAGTGGTAAGTTCATCCATTTTTTGACAGTTTCATTGGAAACGAATTACACCTGGAGAAAAATGTTTAAAGGAAGGGTGTGATAACTAATATCTTTCTGCAAAATAAGAAAAAAATCAGTTGCCTGCAGCCTTTCGCCAAAGTGCATGGTGAGGCATCGAGATGCAAATTTCCAAGTTAATACTATAGCATTCGGTGTTTCTTCGACGTCAAACTTTTTGTGATAGTTTGTGGAGATTTAGGCGCTAGCATGGTTTTGTTTTGGATATTCCATTGTTTCAGTTCTGACAGTCAAGAAGTAAATTCTACACTTCAGGTTCATAAGTTCTTCCTTTCTAGCCGTGTGTGCCTCTTTGACGGCCTTCAATAAAGCGAAGGGCAATTTGAATGAAGTGCTCGGAAGAGCAAAGGTTTTCTAGACCTTGCAGAAACCAGAAAGGAGCGTTTTGTCTATATTGCACTCAATTCAGAGTAGAGTATTTGTCAAAAAAATCTATAGTAGGCTTACGTTTATAAATCACACGTTGGATAATCTTAGAAAATGAGGTAAGAACTTAAATCGGTCAAGAATTACTAACAATGGTGGGATTTCCACTTTTAAAAATTGGGGTGATTTGGGTGATCTTCATTTTTTCAGACACGTGGCCTGTTAACATAGAAAAGTTAATCATAAACGTCAAAGGAAGGGAAACTACCCGAATCGCTGATTTAATCAAAGAAATACTAATTATATCAAAGCCAGTGCTAGTTTTATCAGGCAAATTACCTACAATCTCAATTACTTCTTCTTCTCTAACTGGGGATAAGAAAAGAGAAATAGGATTTGGATCGATAAGTACTCAGCAAAGTTGAGACTACTTGAGTCAATCACACTAGAGAAGTTTTTCCAAATAGGCCTATTTATGAAATATTGATGAAAATGGTTTGGCAATTAAAATACAGTGAATTAAGATGTAAATGAATTAAATTCGGGAGTTGACTGCAACCAGGATGCTCCGATAGATGATAAGTAAAAAGGTTGGTGTGTCTGCGGCCCCTGACATTTCAAGTTAAAGTCGCAACAGTGGTCTCACACCCATATCATGTGATTCACAGCAACAGTTACATTTGTTGTTTAAATGCCAGTGAAGAGATGTTTCGATCTTTACAATCCACACTGTGACAAAAGTCATGAGTTTCACCTGTTGAAAATTCTTTGATTACGTTTGCCATTTGACAGTCCAGTGCACTCCTCTGCATGGCCTACCAGAATTCCCCTGGCAAAGTTGATTGTCAGCCAGGCCCATGACCAGGCGGCCAAGCTTCACTCCATTAATTAAAGTGTGGGCTTGGCTTTTCAAAGGGTTGTGTATTGTAGTAGGTGACGTTTACAGAGATACTTGCGTGCACCCTGCATTGTTACATACTGCGCTGACCTTGAATGCATGGCGGCCACGCCACTGTGGATGTATGGAGCAAGATATGAGACGGAGAGAACCTCCCTCCCTCCCTTTGTGTCTGGTCATTGTGTCACTGGAATCTGAGGAATTCTTTTCAGACATTTGGGGGATGTGTTAGGTAACAATAGTCTTGAGTGTGTATAGCGATTGGACATGTTGGGGGTACCTCGGTCTCATTTTTTGCTGGATATAGGGGTGGATGTGGCAGTACGAAAAAAAAAGGACAAATTCTCGCATTGAAAGCACGACCAGCATGTTCATAAGAAATTCCCCAAATTCAAGAACGAATAACACACAAATATGTACATTTCGTGAAATCTAGGTCCTTTGTCACGCAGAATTTTAGGCAGTTCTTCCCGTCCCAACAAGTTTGTAAGATGAATTTATCGTTTCGTACGAGTTGACGTAACAGCGCGCGACCCGGCATCGCAACCTGATGCGGCAGAAGGGCACATGCATTTTCTTAGACTGGTGCCCCCTGCTCTATATAGGAAGAATTGTGATAGATTTGAAGGGAGCCAATCTTGAGCGCGCAAAAGGTATCTTTAAGGAGCACCTTGCGATGCGCCGAGCAGGCCATGACTGGTCAAATTCACTTAAGATTCGTTCATGTCAAACTACAAAAAGCTTTATTTTTCTGTCTGTTAAAGCATGTTGCGTTATACTGGATTCATTTCAATGACAAAATAATTTCTCATATCCAGGGAAGCAAGGTTTTCTGTAAACACTGTCCCCGGTGCATGCTTGCAGTATCCGTGGGCCGAGACTGGTCTACACTGGCACCGGCGGCTATCTGTCGCATTAAGGGGCCTACGCTCCCAGAACCATGATGCTGGCCTCGCGAATCAGTGAAATTTACATTCGCAACTGGTACTCAGTAGAACCTGTGTCCAGTGACGTGATTTCCTTTTCTTCAAGAGTCTGTAACTTCTAAGCATAATCAGTAATTTTGCGCGGTGTTAAACGCACTCCAGCAATCGAGTCTTTCGTGCACAAAATTTCAACTTGGCCTTCATGTCCTTTATCAACATGGCCTTATGCCTTAGATTTTTGAGGCAAAGCCGATTTGCTCAGCCCCTCAAAAATTAGGGTAGGGGTCGGCTTGTAGGCCTATTTCCTCTACAAGAAATAATACCACACATGTAGCATAAAAAAATCATATCACATGCTTGTGCATGTTGAGAATTTGTGGCTATAGTTTACTTTTTGGACTGCCAAGATTGCTCGCAATGTTACATAAGTTCCGTTCCCAAAGTAAATGTGAGGTTTTTCTTTCATAATGACCCATGTGGAAACTTTGATATGGACGCACTGAAGTGATAGCAAACCGGGCTACTAGTTGAAGGGTGAAGTACAACTGATGTAACAATGAAGAAATTCTTGGACCAATCTTGTTTGGAAATACTTGCTAGTGCTTTGTTATTTTCTCTTGAATCAATATTGCCAAATTTATAAATAGCCCAAATGATTCAATTATGTCTGAGAATAAATGCCAGAGGTCAGTTTGGCGTTTGGCAAGTAAAAAAAATCCTTTGTTTCTTTTGTTTCCAGGTTCCTCGTGGGGTTACCTAGACAACGAAGAAGGTAAGGATAGGTTTCTGTCCCAAATGTGATATAAGTCTGAGTTAAAGAAAATAAAGGAATTTCTTCACTGTGCCTAATTCATTTTTTGTCGTTTTTTTCTTTTGCTCTGTTTGTCCAAATTTGCAACATTGTCAACTTTAATTGGTTTCTAACAGAATGTTATAAGGGTAATTTTTAAAACTTGGCCTTTTAGACACACCTCATAAAAAATAATAAGTTTCTTCCATTGGTACAACTCAGTTGACCAGATTTTAAAATTTTTTTTCCCTTTTTATGCAAGTCAGGTTTAATCAGAGAAAGTACAAAGTTCCATAAATCTAGGCATCAATTTGTTCATGATTATAGTGGTTATTGACGTTTCAGTGCTAAGTTATACTTCATGCTTGTAGTTTGCCGTTGAACATTTAAGTTTTGAAAAATTTTTCTTGAATTTGTTAGTTTTTTTGGGGGGGTAGGGGGAGATTCTGCCGAAATGCATATGAAGTGAACTTGATAAGTACTCAACTCAGCCGTAAGTTGACGACTTTATATTCTTCAATTTACAGGTCCTAATAATTGGACAGCAATTTATGACGAGTGCGGCGGTCTGCAACAGTCTCCTATTGACATTGTGACCGCCAGTGTTGTGGCCAAAGACTTGGGCGACTTCACCTTGGTTGGCTTTGGAGCGGACGATGTACCAGCCGGTGCAGTAATGACCGTGTCAAACAATGGCCATGGGGGTAAGCTTGTGCCTGCAGTATGCAATAGGTTGGAACATCTCATCGGGTGTTCTTTTTGCTTCACCAATTACTTCGATTGGCTATTTGATGTATAGCAAAGTGACAGTCACTGTTACGTTACACAGGGCTTTATGTTCAAATTTCCCATTGGAGGACTGCACCAGGCTATCTTTTGATTGGTCAAAGGCATTTTGTTTGTCTTGTTTAGAATTGTAAATATGAACAAAGAAATTGACTGGAACAGGATTGAACCTGCGACCTCTGGAACAGGGTACCGGTGCTCCACCAACTGAGCTATCCAGCCCTACCTATATGTTGGTGGCTCTTGTCAGTTATCTGTTAGAATTTTTTAGATCTATAGATCCATGCAAACATTTGGTTAAGATTTTACAAAGAAACGTGTGCTGGTGTCCACACGGGTCATAGAAACAACCTGTGGCAGGTGGGTTTTTTTAAACTATAAATTACGTGTTCGAGGACAGCTGATAAAGCATTTTCGTTGGTAATATCAAAGCGGCTCTGGAGTAGCCATAAAACAGGTCAGGTCAATTTGACATTCCCTTCCACTGACAGATTTCTCCACAGTGCTCATATTATTTGAACAGCTGAGTTGTGATTTGTTGTTTCAAGGACATACCTTTCACATTTGTAAGCCATTGTGTATGAAACATGAGGTTTTAGCTCAAGTAGTGACTTTCATCTGGAGGTGATGATATGAGTTTAACTTGAATTGGCTTGTCCTTCAGCTAACAGATTTCTCTCAGGTGTCAATATATGTTTGCGTGGCTGAGTTGTGATTGATTTAAGGTCACGTTAACTGAGAGCTCTATTGCTAAGTCTCAATTTTTGAAATTTGAGGTTTAGATAACTGGCTTTCATTCTAAGGTGATGACAGCTGTCAGAGTAGTCATGGGCATGTAGCCTTGGCTTTTTTTGGTGGGGGTTAAAGTACTTTTTCTGGGGAGAATTCTTGAGGGCTAGACAGGACACTCATCAGCAATGAACTTGTGACTCACTGTTGCAGTGCCATTTTGTCATCCAAGGAATTTCAAGGCCCAGGGAAAACTGTTTTTCCCTTGTGAGAGTTCAAAATAGCTCAAAGAAGGATTCAGAGTGCAGAAAACAATTTTACCTCGGAAGTTGTTGAATTTACTTGTAATGTTAGGTTGCGGACCTTTGCATGGATTTTGCTGACTAACTTGAAAATCAAGTCCAGTAAGAATTCCGACATTTATTCCCACAGAGGCATTGAATAAAGGAGCCACACTGAATCATCAATTTGTGTCGCATGAGGCTCTTCATAGAAACTTAGATGCTGAGAAAAAAGAGCATTATTGGTTGGGGTTGGATACGCAATGCTGATGGGATGGGTTGCTGGTAAAAGAGTTTCTATGAAGCTATAGACCCTATTCATGTGGAGGCCATTTTTTATCTTATCCCCCAAATCTATTTTATATATTGCAAACTGTCGATTAGGATGTCACCAGACTGTTTTATACTTCCGTGCGTTTCAAGCCTCCCTTTCAATAATTTTTGGAATCTAGCATGGTACAATTCAATGTGTTCAATCATGAATTTGAAATTATTCATTGGAGTAGAGAGGTGGACATTGGTCATGAAATTTCATTTATTGCTTCATTTGTACTCTCAACATTCAAAAATGAAGAGTTAACCTCGCTTTCAAATTCAATATGGCCGGCCCCGTGAATAAAGTCTATTCTCCTTTATGTGTCTCATGAGTTGATTCTTTTTATCCCTTACCCCATCTTTTTTCTAGTTGTGGTGTCAATGCAAGGAGATTACCAAGTGAGTGGGGCTGATCTTGGGCCAACAGCCTACAAAGCTGTGCAGTTTCACTTCCATTGGGGCAGTGTGAACTCTCGAGGCTCAGAGCACACCGTAGATGGGAAGGCCTATGCGGGGGAGGTAAGAACCTTCCTTCACTTTGTTCAATTTTCTGTTTGAAGCTTTTTTGTCTGTCCCACAAAGTTCCTGCCCCACTCAACTACCTGAGCTCCCTCCCAAAGTAGTTTGAATAGATTCTGATTCTGGTTTGTGTGGATATAGGTGCCCATACTCAAATCTTGTCCGAATGTTTGAGACTGTATCTAAAATCAACACTTGTGCAAATTGAGCACGACTGTCATTACACACCTATTAACACTGGTTTCTTTTCTCTCAAAGTTCAGGCCCATTGCCTGACCAGAGACTTGGGGGTGATTAATCCAACCCAAAACTCGAACTTTTGTCACTGTGCACACATTTTTTTTACTAAGGCCTATCATAATGTGCTTTTCAACACAACATTGAATGCTATGGACATTATTATATTAAAAATATATTTTTATTTTTAAAATAAAAGAAAAACAAAACAAAAGAGGGGAACTCAGAACTGCACAGGTCGAGGGGTCGTTCAAGCCCCCGGAACCCTCCCCCAGCCTACAGGCCTGGAATTGGATTACATGTTGCACATGGATGCGTGCATGATGGAAATCTCTACAGGAAAGAAGATTGGAAAATGTTGGAAAATGGAAAAGAAGAGAAATTCTCTATGGTTAGTGGCACAGGTCTGGGGTTTTTTGCCAGTCCATCAATTTCTCCCACTTTGAGCAAGATTTCATCTTGAGGTTTATGCTGAACGCGGCAACTTGCAGGATGTTTACACACTCACCAAAGACGTAAATTTTCCCGGTAAAAGTACAGCACAGATGGGTCAACGGTGACTTTTGTTCATGGAATAAATTTTGAGAGGTGGCCATGACGATAGAAATTGAATTGGGCCTATTGCTGCAAGGCACAAAAACTGAGAAAAAATCTAACAAATGACAACAACCGTCAGCCTGTGTCAGATTGGATTACTTCATGCAGCCCAACATACCTGTGTAGGTACTTGCATGGAACTTTAAGATTCACAGGAGGGTGCAATTAATGACCTCTCACCTGAATTAATTTTTTTTTAAGGGAGGTAACTTTTCATTTGCACTCGTTTTGATTTGTATTTTGGGTCAGCATGGTTATTTCAAAAATTTGACTGCGATCTGCCCCCACTCATGTGTTCAGGTGTGCCATTTTGGGTAACCCCCTCTGTAAATGTTGCATCCCCCTGGTCAATGGGGGCGTCAACAGGGGCCATAGCTTTCCCCTCCCCCCAACACTTTCTGGGGGAGGGGGCCTGTCCGATTTCGGAGACCCCAGCCCCGCATATAAACACACGTTGCCCGAAACCGGAGTCCCCGGCGGCAAGTGGTTAAAACAGTGTTATGTATGATGGAATCACTCTATGTGATGATCTCATTAATGGCCATTTGTTTGCTTTTAAATTTTGGTTCTCATATTTCACATGTACATGTACCCTCTCTGCCTTGTCTTAGGTGAAAGTTAAGTTACTCTCAGATCAGGATAAGACAAGAGTATATGTCTAGCCGAACAGTCAAATACATGTAATAATTCTTTGTTAGATTTGAATTAATTGTTGAACAAATCGTCCAACTCTTGTCATGATAGTAACAATACCTGTTTATGTTTTGGGCAGTTTTGAAGTTTAAACCATGGACCATCTGTGTTTACAATTTACCCTTGAAGTGCGAGTTCCAGCCCCATGGCCAAACCAACTTTGTGGTGGATGATGTCAAACAATACAACAGTATGGTGCACTGAGGCTTTGTACTGGAATATTTTTCAGTCTTGATTGCTTTATATTTTTGTTATTGTTGTTGTGCACTAGACATGGAAAGGTTCACAGATATAAATGATTTCAAAATTGATTACTTCACTGATCAGCGGAAAAGGAGAATAGATGTGCACTTCCATCAGTCACAGAAAAACTTGTTGAGGATGTATTTTATTCCAGCGTTTTTCCTCATTTCTCAATGTTGTCAACATTTCTTTACCTTTCCCTCAGTTGCACATTGTTTGCTTCAATACAAAATATGCGGATTTCAACGAAGCTTTACAGAACGATGATGGGCTGACAGTTCTGGGATTCTTTCTGGACGTAAGTTCTTTAAATTTTTCCCCCAATCAGGCCTCTGTGATTCTGTTTACTCAGAGCAAATCGAAACTGGACAGATTTGCATAATGGTACAATTGTGTGTCCTTCAGTGAAGGCCACAGTTGTCATTGACTGTGTTGGCCAAGCAGTATTTTTCCAGGCACATAGGGGCTTGGCCATGAAGTTCCCTTGCCTAACCCTAGCTGACTTGCTCAATCCTTCAAAATCTATCTGGCAGTGTTGTGGGATTGTGTAGAATTTACAGTTGCAGAGCTGGTCACTTCTGAACATATTTCACTGGGTTACCGGGGATTGCACTTGTTCATATGAAAATGTTGCCCTTATAATTAGTGCCTCAGAGGGATCCGTATCAATTCTCGGAGGAGTCTGAAAAATGGCTTTGCAAAATTGCCTTGAGAATTAGACTTCAGATTAGTGTCTCCAGATGGTCAGCCTTCATTGGACAAACTTGACTAATGGAGTAAAAACAAATTTTCATGCTTTCCACATTGAGCCCTAACCTTGCGTGCACCTCCATCAGGGGTTGCGCTAGTGCTGTGGCAGCATTGGTACGGACAGAATTTTAGTCAGGTGTAAAAGGCACCATTCTGAGGTAGTCAACCACAGGTGCCATTTTTGCCCTATTTACATTGAATCCAGGGAGCATGGGGACACATGTTTTTCATGGATGGGTGAGTGTATGTGGGGGTGAGTGTGTAAATGCCTTCAATCGTGGACCTATCACAATAGGGGACAATAGGGTCTACGGTTGCCGAAGTCCACGGTTGGAAAACGTGTACAAAACATATGGGAGGTCTTCCGAAAAAGTATGAACAAAAGAGGAACAATAGGGAGTCCACGATTGAAGGCGTTTACACACTTGGGTGTGTGTGTTTGTGCATCCTGTTGAAAGTTACGTACCCTAACAAGTTCATAAAAAATTGACAAATGGATTATTTTAGGTATCTGTGGGGTGCTTGTGGCATTTTCGTTTTGCTTTTATGTAGCAGTTTTCATCAAAACATCTGCTTCAAGTTTTGATGTCTCTAACATGCAATCCTGCACAATGCAGTGTTCAGTTATTTGGCTGAGAAATCCCTCTTCTTGGCTGTACCCGTAGACCCTCTAAATTTGGTGTATCAGTAGTCAGAACCTGCTAGTAAGAAGCAGACTTTATAGCAAGGACAGTGTTCAGACCAGACATCCTGAACTTACAATCTCGTCTATCAGTGTACATGACATAATCCAATGTGTCATCATAAATTATTCATTTATAAACACCACTTAGGGGAGGGAAGCCTCAGAACACGTGCTGTAAACTGGGGCACTGTTCATCTTTCAACCTGTGGTTATTCCTGTAAAAAACAACAACTTTGTTTTCAAATAAAGGTTAAAATACATAAAATACATGTAAAGGTAACGTGGTACAACAGTGGCAGAATGATTTCCAAAGTGGGCCAGTTGTGAGACCATCAGGCATCAACCATTAACAGGCCGATCCATCATGGCCCAACCCATTCCCCTTGAAGCAAGGCCTACCGGCCCCCTGGCTCCACCTCTCCCTTCCTCCCGCCACCAGTGAATTATAACTTACCAAGTTTGAGCCTCATTTCTCAACTCATCAAACATGTAAACCTACTTGATTTATCGTGCCCGGATTATGCTACAAGACCTTTGATGAACCCTAGCAGTCCAAAATCCCCTGATATCAGTGTGATTTTATATATACCCTAGGGGGTTAGGGTTTTGATAATGACTGGTGAGGTATTGCTTGTCACAACCCTGCTACCAAGACCTTTGATTAATAATGACTGATGAGGTATGGCTTGTTACAACCTTGCTACTATTAGGGTTTAGTGTAAATCTACAAGAATCTTGATGTTGTTGTTGGATCAATATGGTCAGGGGTAGTCACAGAAAGTAATCTCTGAGCTGCCCTGATTTTCATCAACTTTTGGTGTAGCCCGTGGTGACCTGCCGATGAACCTTTATGAAACTGACCTGATGATGAACCTTTATGAAACTTATGTACTTCACTATTTCCCTCAAGGCAAAAAGAACTGCATTTGCAGCTGTTCTGTCTGGCTCTGTTCATTTTTTTTTAAATTTTATTTCCGGGCTTAAGCAACTTATAATCCAGTACTCAACTATTTTTCTAGAGTTGTGACACAAGTGGTATTTCATTGTGTCCAATCAGATGAATATCAAAAGTGCATTTGCATTAGGTAATTTAAACGATTCATTTCTGATATCTGAATTTATCATTTCACAATTGAATAGTTCTTGTACATTATTAAGTATTGATAAGACTGAGGGTGTAGGTTCCACAGATCAGTCTGTGCAGATGATGTGCATGTTCTTGAATTGGCGGTTTACCATGTTTCCACATTTTGATATTCAAGAGAAAATGATTCTTTTTATTAATCTTTGAATACTCCATTTTATGCAGAAAAATGTTCTAGAACTTAAGGCTATAAATAGGAACATTGCACTCTCACTTCTGTCAAAGCTCTAACTAGAAATGGAAACACCCTATTTAGTCACAGGTTTAAGGTGAGCATTCGGCTTGGAAATTTTTCGATCCAACATTTCCGGCCCATGGACTGTAAGGGAGGGAAACGAATGAGCCACTGGTGCCCAGGCCCATTGCAATTAACATTGCCCTTTTTTCTCAACATGCATGTTGAAACTCTGCGCCAAATTCAATCAGGTTTTTTTAAAGTCCTTGTACTTTGTAGAATTAGTGCTAGAACCATTCAAATATGCAGAGGAACTGCTCTCAGTTGCGTCTATTATTGCACGAGTTGTGGCCCGTTGGCTGATAGCGAAACAAGAGAGAAAATCTATGTTTGTCGGAGTGTTTGGGTGCAGGATTCCCAACAAGCTAGATGGCGATTGAGCAAACGGATGGAACAGGGTTCATTTCACAGTCAAGGCTTCTGAAGACTCAGTTGAACATCTCTTAACTCTTGACTGGCTTCACGTAGTTCGGATTTGTAGCATTGAACTTGTCACCTGCCACCTGGCCATCTGTGCATTGGACCATGGGCCACTACAGTAATTTAACCCTTTGCTGGTGATGTGTGATACTCCTTTTTTTTTCCTTCCTGTAATCTGCGGAACAGCTGGATGTGGACGGCAACCTTGTCCTTTGTCTGAACCCAGATAATCAGCAGCCCCCCCCCTCTTCCAGGGCTGGTTTAGAAACGATCAACCTGCTCATTGGTTTAAAGTTTCAATGATGTGTTCTGAATATTCATAATTTCAGACTGTGCAACAAGACCGTTGGCTGCTTTGTCTCCATGGTTAACTGTAGCATTAATGAGTGCACGCATGTACGGGGCACAAAGCATGGCCTTCTCCGTGGAAAATGTGCATACTGTATCGCATATGAATGCATAGTTTGTGAAATGTTTTCCACACCCTTTCAGTCGAGTAAATAATTTGATATTGGTCTGAACTTTTCAGCCGTATGATAATCTTGAAAATGTGTTTAGTCTAAAAATCTGAATATTGAGAATTGAAGTCACCATCTTATTTTTCCCCTGACTAGAATGTACCACCTAAAAAAGGGGAAATTGTTCAATGGTATGACTATTTACAAAAATCTGTAAAGCAAGCTTGCTTCAGGAAGACAGGCAGAGACTTCCTTGAACTTTACACAAAATTATGACCCAGCATTCAACTCTAGCACTGGTGGCAGAGGCATGTGGGGTCACTGTTATTCCCCCCCTCCCCACACACACACCCACTTGTGGGCTTGTACATGGTGCCTTGCGGGGTACAATGGAAGATACCCCACAAGGCCAGTTTTGATCCTTGTGGGGTACTAAAGTGGTACCCCACAAGAATTTCACGAAGTAGATATTTCAAATTTACTCAAAAAGGAGGAATTTTCGAGTGCCATTCATCTGTCGCAAATTGAAGTGTTTTATATAGGGACATACGGTCGGAATTTTAACCCAGGAATTTGGTCGAAGTGGCATGGCAGTGATTTGAAATTTTTTCGTGTTGTGTGGGAGTTTTGTACACGAGAGGGAACAAAGGAAATACCCCACAAGTATGCATATGTT